TGGTGCTGGTATTCAGGATTATCTTTGACGCTGTTCTGCGATGTTGACAGTTCGCGTCGGTCATCTGCTCCCCGTATCCTGCATGTTATTGCAGAAAAAAAAACATGTTCGCACAGATTGCAATGCATACACCCAAGCATTTGATGATGAGGTATTCTTCTGTTGGGGCATCGGTCTTCGTAAATTTGCCTAGCGCAACGGATGCTTTCAATAGCTGCGTCATATATGAGATGCATATCCGCAAGCTCTTGATACGTTGAACAATTCATCTTGTCACTAGTAACTCAGTTCATATACTGATGACAGCGGAAGTGGTCAGGTGAGCTGTACACTAGTTGGGTACACACAGCGCCATTGCATATATTTGCAAACATACTTTTCTGATGTCTTCCCTACCTCGCCACAAAATTTGAACGATAAGTTTTGAACCAACCCTGTATATTTATGTATCAGTCTATTTATACCTTATAATTCTAATTTTAATTTTGCAGTAGTGCATCAACTCTCCATTTTAACTTTTTCTTTTTTTTTTTTCCCTAAATCGTAACTGTTAATTGTACTCACTAGTAACTCAGCTCATATACTAATGACAGCGGGAGTGGTCAGGTGAGCTGTACACTAGTTGGGTACACACAGCGCCATTGCATATATTTGCAAACATACTTTCCTGATGTCTTTCCTACCTCGCCACAAAATTTGAACGATAAGGTTTGAACCAACCCTGTATATTTATGTATCAGTCTATTTATATCTTATAATTCTAATTTTAATTTTGCAGTAGTGCCTCTACTCTCCATTTTAACTTTTCCTTTTTTTCCCCTAAATTGTAACTGTTAATAATAAATCTCTTTAAATTACATCACTTCCAAATTGATCTATGTTATTTGGTTTTTGCAAAATGCTAGTGGCAAAAGTATTTACGTAACGTTTTAACTAATAATAAAATTATGTGTTGTAAACTGAAACCTAAATTATTCAGTGAGAGTAAAGTAGAACTATAACTTAATGACATTTATGTTTTAATTTGTGCATTCAGTCTTTGTACAAGCAACTTGCTGTTGCTGCTTTTCTTACTTACAGCAAATATGCCATAAAAATGTAAACATTTTTTAAAGAATCTGTATATCTCTTCTGGCAGTTTAGATATATGTGTCAGAAAGTAAAATGTAATAATTATATGCCTTGGTGCACCTCTATTCATCATTCATTGAAAAAAATTAGTAAATTACCATCAAAACTTTTTTTATTATGAAATAAAAGGGTTTATTATAAGCAGTTACTATTTTCAGGATAGAAAGGAGAAATAACTGAAATGAAAAGATGTGTTAAAGAATTATTGAAAAAATAAAGTTAGAATTTGTGGTACTTTCTAATTATATTACCAGCTTCAATATTCAATAGAACTGCCTTGTTTTAGCATATTTTCCTGTATACATGCAGCAGTAATCAAGCCATTTATGAGCATATCAATATGTATGCATTTAAATATATAATATCTATTCGGTAAAACAATAGATAAATAAAAGCATACATGTGAATATATATGTATTATTTATCTATTGTTTTACTGAATAGTAAAAATTTTAATTTCTCATATAGGTTTTTGGATACTTTTCTCGGAACCGGAATAAAAAATGTATATATGTACGCATACGTGTATTCATATGTGCATATATGTGTGTATGTGTACACATGAATGCATAGCACAGTCAAAAGTCGTTAATTCGGACACCCATAATTCGGAATGATCTATAATCCGGACATCAAAACTAAAAACTTTCTGCGCATGCGCCACGTTGACACATGCGCAGAGGCGTTCACGCGTGCGTGTAAGACCTTTTACGACTGTGCATATGAGTGTGCGCAAGTGCAGAATACGTTTTCGCGTGCGCATTTAATGTATAATGGACGTATAAGCTAAAAATTATCTAATTATCTATTTCAGTTAATGTTGATGATTGCGTTGTTCCTTAATTTTCGAATTGCATCCGGAAAAATCGATAATCCGGAATCGCCGAAGTCCCGACGAGTCCGGATTAACGACTTTTGACTTACATATATACATACATGCATATATTTCTGAATTTAATCCCAAAACAGAAGAGTACCATTTTTTGGTCCCCTCCCATAAAATTTCATGTTTCTTTTTGTTATTATTTATGAATGGAACAATATTTATCAGTTGTAAAGATATCCAAACAGTTTTTCACTATTTCACAAAATCATCAACTACAATCAGTTCCTTTAAAGTAGGCACTTCAAGGCTGTTACCTTGAAGTCAGCCTTCATTCATGAAACAGAATATGAAATATTAGTTTGTAATTTTTTTCTGCTGCAAATGAAAAAATACATTATTCTTTATGCATGTATTCATTTGTGAAAGCTATTTTTTATCATATCAATTTATTATGTTGATACGTATTGATATAAACATGCGTGCTACAAATACATTGATCATTATTACAAATACATTGCGTGCTACAAATACAAGAATCCATGTACACAGCGACATGTTTTAACTTAAAAAAACATCTACAAATGGCACAATGTAGGCAACGAACGAATTTACGAACTACGCGTACCTCGCTTTATTGCCGTAAGTAGGGTAAACAAAATAATATAAAAAACTGTATTAAAAATTATCTGTAATTAATAGATTTACATTTTCTTTCTATTCATACTTTTTTACTCAAACTTACAAATCGTGCCAACCTGGTTGCGATAATACGTAAGTACCCTGACATATTAATTTCAGGTATGTCAAATACATGCTAACTCTTTATGAAAGATATTTTTAATAATTTTTATTTAATGTGTTTGTGTTAAATAAAGCCCATGATTTGATGTTTCTGTCATATATATTTATTTGAGGTCAAAAATTATATTACTGTAAAATTGTTTCATAAAATTTTTAAGGAAACTACAACGACAAAGTTTCAAAGTAAATCATGATAACTAACTGAGTGCTGTTCTCATAACATACCTAAAACTGGAATGATTGAATAACAAACTTGATTTATGCAAATTTTTTCCTGAAGTTAGGTTTAGCAGTGCAAATTGCCTGTCCCCACTAGACAATGCATCTAGCTGGCACGCCGTCCCGAGAGAGCAGCTCAGCGACTGCCCATCTCAAAAAGTTTCAGTTGTTAGCTCTAATTGGACAACTTTCTTAAAATCATCAAGACTGTTATGAAGCTCATTTCTGTTTCTTGAAGTATAGATTGAATTTACATTCTGATTAATTTGTTAAATAAAAGAAGAATTTAAATTGCAGTATCCTTTTGCAAAATTCTTTCACTTGCATAATGAGATAACCGTGATATTACGTTCACAGTTATTAAGTACATTCTGACCTAGTTGTTTTTTATTAAAGTAAAAGCAACATATTAATATTTCAATCATAAAAATTCCATTTTAATACTTTGAAATGGAGCAGAAAAGTCTGCTGTGGTTCTTTCAAATACTATGCCAACAATTGATTTTGAACAAATATATCTGAATTTGGTACTGTTCTGTTATCAAGACCGTATCCAGAAATGTATGTATATGTGTAAGTACGAATGTATGTGTGTGTATATATACAGAACAAAGACTGTTGGGACTTCAGCAATTCCGCATTTGAGATTTTTCTTGATATTAGATCATCAGTTTAAATCTAGTAAGATGGCATGTAGAAATTATAAAATTAAAAATATGAAATTGTGATTTATGAAGTAATGAAGCATTTATGATGTAAAGGGTATCAAAATTTACAACCAAAAAAAGTTTAATATTTATTTGCTTACTTTATTAAACGTTTCTTTAAATGTAAGTCATTTAAGTTGCTTCTTTTTGTGCTAGTACTTTTTCTTCAATTCTATAGATACAGATATAATTTCTTTTCTGTTACGAAGTTCCAGTGTTCAAGTTTTGTAGCTGCCGAGTCGAGAATTCTGACTAACTTGTCAATCAAAATTTTTTCGTTTTCAATAACCTCTCTGTCACTATCGGTAAAAGTATTTTTTGGATCTAGAACCATACTACAGATTTCGTTGTCTGTTAATTGATTGATGATTGAATCATTGCATGTATATATGTAAGTATGAATATATGTGTGTGTATACATACGAACACATGTTTATACATTTCTGAATCTGATCCCCCAATAATAGGACAGTAACTAAAATATAAAAATTAGCATAAAACATTTGATTTTATTACAGATTCAGCTAATAAAGTATTTTCGTAATTTTTCTCTTTATGTATTTTTATAAAATTTCCTACTTAAATAATACATAATTTTAATTTGTTAAAAAAATAAATTATCGTATTGCATTCCCTTTGTATATTAATAACTCGTAACATGTAATTAGGAAATAGTTCACAATTTTTATAAATTGTTAAAAAATAATTTTTATAGATATTTTTATATGGATTAACTTTTATAATTTTCCTTTTTATAGATAAAATTGAGTTTCAAGACTTTTTTCCCCTAATAGGTCCATTTAGTGAATGCTAAAGAAAACAAAAATAACCATAAGAAATAGTGTAATATAAATAAACATGTGGTGCCTTAGTGGAATAGAGTACCCTTTGTTTTAAAAGTCAAACAACTTTTTTCTTTAGCCACAAGTGGAGGAAAAAAACGTAAGAACACATTTCTGGTCAAATGATAGGAGGGGGGGGGCTCTGACTGTGTATTGTTGAAAAAATAAACTAGTAACAACTAATAATCAAGAGCTTTAAAAGCTAAAAATAAGTAGGTATTAGAATTCATATCATTCGTTGAAAAAATGATTTTATGAATTTGGAAAGCTTTTTAGCATTCTCAACTGAAGAAGAAAGTTTCATTTTATTTTTGAAACTGTTAGTACTGCATGTTTTACGTAATTTATGCCTACTTCTGTTGCTAATTTTCATTTTCTGAATATTTAATTCATTGAGCATGTCTTTTTATAACATCAGGTTTTTTGATCATCTAACTTAGTTATAAGATTTTGAAATTTTATTTTTATTTGTAGTATACTAAACCTCAAGTTCCTGTTTATGACTTGTTAAATATCCAGATGAAGTGTTATGATTTTACAGTCCTGGAACATTATGCCAGACATGTGCATAGGATAGCACAGCATATGGATATTGATGTTGTTGATGCGTGAGTAATATGAAATCATTCATTATTTCCTTCTGATTTCTGAATTTCCTTGCCTATTTAATGTTAGTAACTAGGGTATTTTCCTGGTGCCAAAAGTAAAGTTTAGCCTGAAATCAAACTGGAAATAGGAATGACCATCCTAATGATATATATATCTTCATAGCTATTTTATTATATCCAAAATAACTACCAGAATTAAAGAAAAAGGCAGAAATTGTTAAATAAGAATGCATGTAATTATTCCAGTTGATAGTCACATCATGTTCCATTCCTGGTTTCAGTCAATAGAATTCAACCAATCTAACAAGCTCTTGACTCCAGAAGAGTAAATTAAGTAAATGTTATAAAAGTAAATGTGGGAATTTATGAAATAGCTCCGATTCTGTAAACCATTCTTCTGGCTGCAAGAAATTTTAGTGTTTCATCATTTCATTTTCTGATTTTTTTTTCTCTTAGTGTGGATGATATGTTTGTCTAGGAAGAATTTAATCATGACTATCCATCATTTGATAACTTCCAAATCATATAATCTATGTAAATTCTTTCTTGAAAAATAAAATGCAATAAAATAAAGGCAGCTGAAAATCTCTGAGACTGAGGGGAAATGACTGGATAGATGTTTGTTCTTCCTGCTTATTCACAAGATGTCATTCAACGTATTGAAAACGTTTATTTATGTAAACATGTGTATTACAAAACATTTGTCTTGTAAAACGATGACCTGAAGCAGTGATTTCCGATCTTTAATGTTTCATTAATCCTTTTCTTTTTAACATATTTTTCGATGTTTTGATGGTGATATCGGTTAGTTTCTGTTATCATCATTTCGTAGAAAAATTATCATCAAGGAACATATCCAGAGATCCTTCAACGCCGTTCTGTGGTAAAATATTTAACCCTGTTCAATCCAAAAACGGTTCTATGGTAGGTGGAATGTCGACTTCAGTCCGTTGATGTATAATTTCTTCTTCATCATCATTTTCACATTCATCATCGCTAATCGGTAGTGAAAAAACTCGGGTCTTTCTCATAGGTCGTATAGAACTATCACTATCATTATCGTCACTTAAAATATCTCTCTTTCATCGCAATCAAAGTCAGACAAATAATCTGCATATATATCTTTGTTTTCATGTGAAACCATATTGAAGGATTTCAAAATTTACTGTAAGTAGAATTTGAACAACCAAACAGCTTCAAACCACAAAACATACTAAATACAAATGTAAAGTGGTGCATGGATTGCACAATGTGGTTGCAAACTGTACTAATACGACTCCTGCCTTTAAGCTACAGTCGAGATAAATCATATTACTATGACTCCCGCCTTTAAGCTACAGTCGAGATAAATCGTATTACTATGACTCCCGCCTTTAAGCTTCAGTCGAGATAAATCGTAGTACTACGACTCCTGCCTTTGAGCTACAGTCGAGATAAATTGTAATACCACGACTCCCACCTTTAAGCTACAGTCAAGATAAATCGTAGTACTACGACTCCCGCCTTTAATGTGTTAATTGCCATGTATTATTTTAATTTGAATACATTTGACTCTGTAATTTTTATATCGGTTTTCATGGCTAAAAAATATGTGCAACCAGCTGATTTTGCTTGCATTCTTCAAAAATTATCTGATGAAGAAAAGAAAGACAAGGAAACCTTTGGATTGGAGAACAATAGCGATTTCCATTCCTTATTTTCTTTTATTTCTATTTTTTAGAAATAAATAAAAATATTAAAGTTAGTTTAAAGTGTGCTTTTGTAACCAGTAAGAAGTAAATTTCCTTGCAGAATTAAGTAATGCTAAACTTACTTTTTTCCCTACCAAGGTGTTTTCCTTTATTATTTGTCTATATGTGCCTTTTTGATGAATATTAAAATTAGCTTCAATTTTAAAAATATAATTATTAAATAATAAATTTAAAATATTCTATAATGAAATACATCATTGCATTTCCATCTCACTAACATAAGAACTTAAAAATAATTTACTTATATTTGAATGTGATATCATTTGTATTTTGCAATAATAAGATTTATATTTTAGTTCTTAATACATTTATTATCAATATTCACTTATTTTTGTCATTTTTCGTGCCAAAAACGGTAAAATAAGGGATGTCGTAAAAAATACGACGCTCGTGCGCTCATAAAATTGCCCAGCACATGTGCTGGAAGGTTGTAAAATTAAATATTTCATTTTAGAGGAATACATTCTGTGGACCTGGAACTTATGAAATTCTCTTCTCTTGGATGTTTGGTTACAAACAAAACTCATTTTACCATTTATGTTTACTGACTTGCTAGTACTTGGCAGGATTAATTGTAATTGTGAGAAGTTAAGAGAAAATAGAAACAAAATGAAAAGAATATGTTCTAAATTCGTATTTAGATGCAATGCCTGCTTTTATTTGCAAAATAAGAGAACAAATTACTTCTGAAAGGGCCTCTATTTTGATATATATATATATGCATGTAGATATTATTAGATTTAGTTGAATAGTTAAATACATAAAATGAGATAGAGACAGCTGTAACTACCGCTGAGGCAAACAGAATAGTGCCTCGGAGCCCTGAGCTTAAAAGGCCACTGAATGAGGAGGAAAAATATGGAGATTTTATTTTACGTAATTGAAAAATTAAACTTCACTAATGATATTTATGTTTCACTTTTCAAGCTGAGAAATTATTTACTTTATGAGTTTGTCCTACTCATACTTACACAATGCAAAGTGTTAGAATTCCTAAACATTGCTTGAAAATCTTTCCAGTCTTAAAACACAGATCTATTATGAGCATATGGTTTAGTGAAGAAATCCTGGCTTAAAATTACCAAGATGTAAAGAAAATTTGAAGGTCACTTAAGAGATCTTTGAGCCTTGGGAAATAAGTAAAGAGTTTTGTTGGATTGGAGTTAGGAAAGTGAAAAGACATTATAACGAATTATGTAAAGATACACAATTAAAGGATTCATAATCTTATTTAAAGGTAAGGGCATTTTCTGTAGTGATAGATATTTTTATGTACTCAGCTTCATCATCATTTCCAAGGTTTCAAGAATGATCTTAATACTTACTGAGTAACTCGACTCTAATTTCTTATGAAAACAAATGAAAAAGAGATCTATGACAAAGCAATTCATTTAATAATAATAAAATTTTCCATAAGATATCTTATCAATATTTCCAACCCCATTATTTGTAGCTAAGGCATTTAAATAAGAACTTGAAAAAATTAATAGCATCAAAGGATTAGCATAACTGTTGATAACAAATTAGAGTTCACTTTCATCGAATCTTCTGCATCATATGCTTAATGGTTCCTATGACTGTAATTAAGGCTGAACAACCATTCTCAAAACTGAAATTAATAAAAAATTATTTGCAAAGCAGTATGGGATATATTACAAAAAAAATATTACAAAGCAGTATGGGACAGGAGAGGCTCACGAGTTTAGCTTTGATCATAATTTTGAATAATCGAGCAGAAAAAATTAACCGTGATAAAATTGATAAATTCCCTTCCTTAACAATTAGAAAATAAAGCTTGTTGTTAATTCATGTGTAAGTGAGCCTTCAGCTTTGGAAGCCCATATCAATGATGGTCTGTTACATAGTTCACATGTTGCCGCTTGTTGATGCCCCAGCATTGAAATCTGCAGCAGTTTGACGAAGGGTTGTTTGTCTGTGACATTTAATGATTCTTGTCAGTCATCGTTGGTCCTATCTTGTCAGTCATCGTTGGTTCAGTGTTTTTTTATTATTATTATTTTTATTAATTTTTTTTTAATATATATATATAGTATATATGAATGCGTTATATTTCCCCGTTCCAAAGCGGAAACTAAATAAACAACTTTTCTTCCTAATATGGAATGTCAGATGGTGAATCATACTCCTGGAAATAGCTTTTCCCCCTTTCTCTGCATTAACAAAACACCACCTTTGGTGTGCACGAAGAGTACAGACAGGTGCCCGTCGTTCTATTGATCAAAGAATTGCGAAAGCAGTAGAAAATTCTGGTACATTCGGCATTCTTTATAATATAAAGGCAAATAAAATATAAAGGCCCTTATAGGTGCTTACTTTTTCTTTAAAGCCCTTACTTTTTTGTTTTCAGTGTTTTTATTATTATTATTATTATTATTATTATTATTATTATTATATGAATGCGCTATATTTCCCCGTTCCAAAGCGAAAACTAAATAAACAACTTTTCTTCCTAATATGGAATGTCAGATGGTGAATCATACTCCTGGAAATAGCTTTTCCCCCTTTCTCTGCATTAACAAAACACCACCTTTGGTGTGCACGAAGAGTACAGACAGGTGCCCGTTGTTCTATTGGTCAAAGAATTGCGAAAGCAGTAGAAAATTCTGGTACATTCGGCATTCTTTATAATATAAAGGCCCTTATAGGTGCTTACTTTTTCTTTAAAGCCCTTACTTTTTTGTTTTCAGTGTTTTTATTATTATTATTATTATTATTATATATGAATGCGCTATATTTCCCCGTTCCAAAGTGAAAACTAAATAAACAAATTTTCTTCCTAATATGGAATGTCAGAAGGTGAATCATACTCCCGGAAATAGCTTTTCCCCCCTCTCTGCATTAACAAAACACCACCTTTGGTGTGCACGAAGAGTACAGATAGGTGCCCGTTGTTCTATTGGTCAAAGAATTGCGAAAGCAGTAGAAAATTCCGGTACATTCGGCATTCTTTTCCTCCCACCCAAATACTACACATGCTTGAATTTCTATCAAGATCTTAATAATTTGCATTCTCGTTCCGCTTGGTCAGTTCATATTCGTGTTTATTATGATCGTTGATCGTTATGCTTATATTATGAGCATATGTATGAATGTTTATAATAACATAGTTGCAGTAACTGCTGAAGTATAGTAAACTTCCAAAAATGGTTGTGTTTTAACACATATTAGCTTTCTGAGGAATAATATTGTTGATTCCAGATGCAGCAGTGTAGGAGATTTGATATTTTA